CTGCATGTTACCATCTTGCCAGCAGCACCTGCAGCAGGAGAGGAACTCAGAAAGGAGGGAATTCAGAAGGGCACTTACTGACATTACACCGCTGCTGCTGGTATGTTTGGGAGGGTGGAGGAGATGCAGATGCAGATGCTGCCTCTCAGCCCTGTAAAAGGGTAAGGCTGGTAGGATACGCTGCAGGAACTGGGAGGCTCTAGGAAGGTTTCACTGGCTGTGCTAATATTAATAATACAGCATCATGAGGAATCCCCAAATGGCTGATTAACTGTCAAATTGTGATGTTGTGCCTGTGCATGATGGTATCTGGGAAAAATGTAGTAAGGCAAACTAATTAAAATGCCCACCTGGAATTTCTCTATATGTCTGCTTTTTTATTCCTTCTTTTACTCTTTTCTTTTTCTCCTCCTTTTTATTTCCTTCGTTGCTCTTCATTTTCCCTCTTTATTATTTATAAAATTCCCTTTTATCATTTTCTTCCCCTCTAGCTTCTTTCATTTCTCCTTCTGTCCTAGCCCCTCTGTGCCCCATACTGCATTTCCCTTTCTGTTAATCAGTCCTTGCCCAGATCCTGACACCACACAGGAACCATCGCTCAAGGTCTGTAAGGCTGATTTTACCATTCCCCTTCTCTTGTTCCCGTCTTATCCTCTTCGCAGGGGTGGGGACTGTTAGTCTGACTGGCAGAGCATTCCTGTTGTGGCGGCTGTTGCTGGAAGAACAAACTTACAGAAGGTCCCCGAAGGGACCCTACCAAAGTCCAGCTGAACATTTGCAGTATTTCACACACAGATTAGGTGCTTTACAGAAAAGCCGTTTTGATGCAGTCACAGTGTCATGTTTGTGTATAAGGTGGGAATGATGGTGGTCCAGGGGTCACAGAAAGGGATAAGAATTAAGTAGCTTTCCAATAGTATCATCACAAAAATAACCATTTACCTGAGGGGAGGAAAGGACCATGGTCGCTTTCATAGGTATTAGAAATGACATGTTCCTGGAGTTGTTGGTTTCAATATTCAGGCATCGTAGGTCAGCTGTTATGTAACGTGCTGGCACTAATTAACGAGCTAATCTTGTTTCTGGAGAAGCCCATCTCAGATGGGCAGCTCCAGTTTTGTCACCCCAGCTAGTGGCAGGGAGGGCTTGGTGCCACCGGGACAAGTCCCTAAGCCAGCCCTGCTTCTCCTGCGCTCCCACCAGCTCTTCCATGGCGTGGCCCACATTCAAGGGGTTCTGCAGGGGCCTTGGCAGAGCTGCTCTCCACTCACCAGGCCAAGCATGGCAAGAGCCACTGTGCCACCCCAGGCAGCCCCATCCTGTGCTGCCTCCACAGCTGCAAGTGCTCAAGGGCAGAGGGAAAGAATAGCTGCTTTTTAAATCAGGATTTACTCATTACATCTGGGATCTCTCTGATGACACATCCAGCTAGAAGAATCTCCCTGTCAAAAGCAAACTTATTACAAATTCAGTTTATTCTCTGCTATTAGGTTGAACCACAGAGCAGCTGAGTTAAATTGCCATCATTGGCTAATACCCAAAGAATTAAATTATTTAGAATTAGAAATCTTATTTTCCTCCAAAACAATTTCTTTTTTAAATTCGAAGATAAGTTTAAGGCACTCCACTCAGCAGAAGCTGCCATGCTGCAGCCAGAGGATGAGCTCTGGATGCAGGATACAGATCCCCCTTCACCCCCTCAGCTGCCTGTGGTACCCCCCGGAGAAGGATGCTGTGAGGGAGTGATGTGCTCCCCGAAGCATGGGGCACAGCCTGCACACAGCTTGCATCTCTCATGAACAGTCAGAGACTTCACAGTGTTCAGGAAGTTAATAATCACTTATGAACTCAGAAGTTTTTAATGGCTTTTAAACTCAAATTTAATTTCACTTTCAATCAAGTTGTGTCAAATTTAGCTTAAGATTAGGTGACAGGCAGTCAGGCTGAACTGCTGCTCTGTACCTCTCATTTTTGCTTTCCTGCCAGCCCCGGATGACTAGATTTACCTTTTTTTTTCTTTTAATTTGCATAAAGGTAAAGGTGAGTGTGCTCAAAAGAAAATATCTGCATTCCCCAAGGCCTTTGTTATGCAAGTAAACAAACACCACCAATGTAAAATGCCATTGAGTGACATTTGCAGCACTAAATATCCAATTTTGTGTTGGGTAGAAAATGGTTTGGGTTTTTTTTTTCCTGATGCATAGCTGATTTCTAAGTTGTTTTCTGGCTTTCTCTGTGAAAGGCTGTTGGGGATGATAGAGAAAAAGGAAAGTCTTTGAGGTTCAGTTTGGCATGTATAATGCGTGTTTGAACCTGAGTCAATCCCCCAGAAATTATTTTCCCCCAGGCTAGATTGATGGGCATCCCTGCTTCCTTTTTGATTTTGGTTTTTCTTTTTGCTTCTGCAGTGTGGATCGTACCCAGCTTCCTAAGACTGTCTGAACATTTTTCCTTAGTAAACTTAGTGGCTGTGCCCTCAAACATCTCCCTGCGCTCTTCCTCTGGCACACTGTATTTTATACGGTTTTCAGCCTGTTGTACTAAAAGCCCTAAATGGAGTGTTGACGAGCATTTTGTGTTTTATGGCTTGGTAAGTGCAGGAGATGGGCATTCATTGGACTCCAGGCAGAAATGTCCAGAGCATGACTGCTGGTGGCTGCTGGGTGCAGACCAGCCTGGGCTCTTCCCCCAGCCTCCCCACAAAGGGTTACTTTCTTATAAGAACCTTACAGAAAATTTATTTTAAAAGTGCCTTTTGGAGTTGGATTTTTAAATTTCAGAGTCCAGACCATTGCCTCACCTCTTAGAACTACAGTTTTAAAACTAAAGATGCTAAGTCTTTGTTAATTCTAGGTGAGATTTAATCATATCCCCCATTACAACTTTTTTGTTCTGTTGCAGAGGAGACACTGTTCTACACACAACCCAGATGGGGTTTTTTTTGCATTTAAACAATTTTTTGCCTTAGTTTGGAAAGGTGTCTTACCGTGTGGTTTCTCTTGCTAGGTGCTTTCATATGCACCTACTTTATTTTCCTCGTAATTAAGTGTCTCAAGCTGGTAGCAGCTTCCAGGCTGTCCCCCTGCCTAGGTGAGCTATCCTGAGTTAAACAGCTCTGTTCTCTTCACTCATGTGGTCATACATCAATTCACCTGTTATTATTTCCTCTTGTCAAATGAAGCAATAGCAAAGCTTTGAAATGATGTTGCAGCTTTTCCAAAGAACAATTTCCCTCTCGCCTCCTTCTGCCTTTCCCTGTATATCTGATAGTACATCAGCTTCCTCTTGAAATGATCCCCAGTGGAGCACTTCAGCTATTTCGACTAGAGTTTTTCTGAAGGTATTTTTGAAAAAAAAAAGCTTCTACAGCAGAGTTTGGCTATAATGAAGAACAATAAAAAAGAAGAAATCCTTCTGCTTTGGAGAGCTAGTCTTGTACTCACTAATGCATGTGGTGAACTCTGTGCTTGGAATATCCCCAGTGAATTCACTCAGTGGTATTGTGTGGACACACAGAGTTAAGCACCGGTGTAAGTGTATGCAAGGTGTTGGCTTTAAATCTCACTAGAAAATCAAAAGATATGCATTGCAGTACAGGAGAGATTAAAACAAGGCCACTCACAATCATCTTCTTTTTGCATTTCTTATCTGTGTTTCTAAAGTGGCTGTTATATAGCAACACAAATAATGAAGAGAACAGTGATGATCTTCCAAAGAATTTCTTCACCTCACTCCAACACTTGTCATCACATTGATGTAGGTAGGATATTCAGGAAAGTTGCAGTCTGGGCAATTTCTCAGTGATGCTGAGTGAGTATCTAATATGACAGAAGACACCAAGAGCTACAGGATTTAATCCTAGCACAGTTTTTCAGATTAATAAATGACATAACCAAAACCCCTCCAGAGTTAGTTTCTTGCTGTTTCTGCAGGATCGAATTTGGGCTTAGTCTGCTCCAGTGTTTGTTTTTGATTTAATTGCCTAGGAAATCATAAAACAGTAGTCCTTTTAGTTGGCAGGACTTTAAATGCTTATGGGTTTGAAAATAAGGAAGATAAGGACTGTATAAGGAATCAGACTAATGGCCAGCCTGCAGTGCAGTGATGTTGCGCGAGGTGCTGTCATTGATACCTTTGGCTCAGAGGACAACTTATTCTGCATCGAGTTTTTGCAGCATGCAAGAGGAGCGGGAGCAGCCTCTCCTGGTGGACCAAGTCTTCACATAAATCAATGGAAACCCTGGCACGAACAACATATTTTCATAAGTTTACAGTTTTTGCACCCTTTCAGTACAAAGCTTCATGGTGAACTGAACAATGACTTAGGATGCAGTAGGCTATTCACAATATTACAGGGGTTTCCTGGGGGCATTCACCATACCAATCCAGAAGAGCTGAAAAAAAGGATGCTTGGAAAGCTGGAAAGATTTTTGTTCACAGTAACACACAGTGTCAATGAATTGTGCAGTAGGAAGTCTGTAAGCATGGATCTTTCTGGGTGCTGAATGAATCAGAGGAGAAATGGTGCCTCTCAGAGTATTTTTTTCAGACTCTGAGTACATTTTGGTGTTTATCATCATTTTCAGATGCTGTTTTTTAAGATGTGTCTGTAAACACAGGACTTAAAAAATATCTTTTTCAAGAGTAGACTGGAAAAAGCATGGAAGACTTTATGAAGCAACAGTTAACTGCTTCCAAAGTTTAACAATATAAGCTAGTTAATAAACATTGAGTGGTAGGTCATAAAATTCCTTTCAAATTTATATAAGAAAAGCATACATTGTATAAAAAACATAGAATAGATGACTTTCTTCCTTTAAATCCTCAGCAATTTCTCTTTAATGGTAATATAGTATTCGAAAATATAATTTCCTAAATAAACAATATCATATTGCTTAACTTAAGGAAATGTACTTTAGTAGCAACATTTTCAGCACTTGTCTCCCCTTTCTGTAGGACAGTTGCACTGGCTTAAATGAGTTAGCCTGGCCTTGGTTGTGATGGCGAGGGAGGCAAGCCAACTCGGGAGGGATTCTGTTCGTGGAGTATATAAGAAAATTGCTCCTTGCTTTAATGATACATGTTACAAGGCATGGCCAAAGGTGCAGCAGTTCATTTCAGAGCAGGAACCACGCATCCTGATGGTAGACGTTGGTGAGTGGGGTTGTTTATCACATTGAAAAGGACATTTAAGTATGTCCTCTCCTTCTATCAAGCAATATTTGCAGCAGAAGAGTTTGGAGCTTGTGAATCAAACTGAAGAATCAAAATGGCCAGACTGACTATCAAATTTGCCTCCTCCTCTGCTCCACCATTCACAGGTATATGAAGACAGTTTGATTTTTCACAGTATCCAGCAGGCCACCCAAATTGAAGCACTAAACTCAAGCTAAATGTCCTGAGATGTCATTAGTGGATGCTAATGTTGTGTATTGGTATGATACTTCTGGAATTTGAAATCTCGTTTGGCTCTTACAACATGTATTGTGTGTGACCAGTTTGAAGCGACTATCATGTCACTGTCCTAAGAGCTCTGGGGAGTGACTTGTGTCCCCAAGTTTTTAATTCCCAAAGGTTTGAAATTCTCTAAATGATATGGGGGAAGCCTCTGTACTGCTGCAGACCCTGCACCAGAAGTGGATACATGCTCATTGCCCATATGAGATCTGGACATTAACTCCTCATTTCCACATATTCAGGCTAGAGTTCTAAATAGGTTTTTGGATTTATAATCCTTTCCAGCAGTACATATGTGTAGTCTCCCCACTACAGCATGAGAATATTTGTGAAAAACTGCTGTCAAAGGGCTGGGCTAATCACTCTAAATTTTTGAGTGTCATTCAAACTTTATCATATCCTTTTCACGGTTCATCACAGTTTAAATGCCAGGCACTATATTCCTACTAGGTCTTGGCAGATTTTGCAGTTTTTAATGTGAAGAAATAAAATGCACACAAAGAAGCAGCACATAGAATTTTGACCAATGTCACCGACTTTGGACTTTGTTAATGCTGCAATCTAAGCTCAGGCTTGGCTCCTGGGCTTTGGCCTGCAGCGGCTGCTGGCACGCTGTTGTGGTGTCCGTGGCCAGAGACGTGTTTCGTGTGAAACACAATTGCCACAGTGGTGCCAGGGTGTTGGAGAGGAGCCTACCTGTAGGGTTTGCCTCTGTCCCTCCATCCCTGGGAAGCAGCCTTTAGTGTCGGATTAGAGGAGATGGTTATAGTAGCCGTTGTTTGGCTTGTACTGGAGTCTTTCCCTCCAAAAACTGAAAACCAGAAAAAAAAAAAAGAGAGTTAAGCTCCATGGTAGTCCTCTATCTGCTCTTTCTCCTTGGAAAAGAGAGTCTAATATTAGCCAAGTGCTGGCACTGTTTCACAGCACCTCTCTCAGCTGGTGCTGGTCAGGCACAGGCAGGACTGAGAGAGCTCCAGATTTTCTCTGGATATCCTGCTTTCATTCCCAGTAGATGAGATCAGCAGTTAATATTCGGCAAACAGTTAGGAGCAGACTTCTATCTGCAGCTCAGCGATGATTTGGCTCACATTCAAATGGTGCACCAGATTGATGGGGCTGGAGGGCTCCTTACCGAACACAGGGACCCACATAGGGTTTCAGAATAGGTACTATAGGATGGCTGTAACCTAAATATAGGGACTTAAATATTTAGAAGGCTCAAAAATAACTTCGGTTTGGGTTTTTTTAAATGAATTAGAGAGAAAATCTGGGCTGTGACCCAAGCTTACTGTTTGATGTAAGCATAGCCATAAACAGGATGTGAACTAAGGGCTGCACAAGTACAGAGTATTATGTTAGCCCAATGCGTTTACCTCCCTGATCTTAATCTAAAACATGTTTTTTATGATGCAAATGAGAAGGCAAGTTTTTATAATCAACAATCTGCTTTAAAAAGCACCTTATGTTAAGAACCAGATAATTCTGCAAACACATTATCAAAAATTTAGATAAGATCCATTTTACTGCTGACATTAAAACTGTTCTTATCTAAAGATATCTGCCTTTATTTCAACACAAGAAGTATTTCAATTTGGGAAGATGTAAATTTCCGTGTCGATGGCTCCATTATGAAAAGGAAACTGCATTGAGATACCAGAAAAAGAAACTCCACTGTTGTCATGGTGACAGCAATTAGCAGCAGTTAAAACAGCAAACAATGGATTTAATGGTTTGGTCTAATAGTGACTTAATTACTTAGCAGTCTAGTTTGTCTATCAGCATTTCAATACACAGGAATAATTCAGTGCTGTTCTTCCACTCCATGACTCTTTCACTTAGCATTTTGAGTCTATTACAAGCAGAATTGCAGTAGCATCATTACCATAAATATTTCTGATTCTGTATGTGGTGGGAAGGCCAAGGTAAATGCTCTCTAGCAATCCCACTTGAGCACCTGCTGTCATGCAGCAGAGAGCCAGCTAGACAGAAAGGAGCAGTCTGTGCTCATTGTACTGTGATGGTAAAAAATAACCTGAATTCCACTGCAATTGTATCATCTCCTTTAAAATGGGTGGAGAATTTTAAGCAATTAGGCCAGTCAAGGGCGTACACCATGGCTTATGTCAAGAATACATTTTCTTTTGTACAGACACCAAATGTCCGCCTCTCTATCTCCTCCTCCTTATTTTTTCAGGCTGCGGAAACGGCAAATACCTTCACATCAATTCTCAAGTCTATAAACTGGGTTGCTGCTGCTGTTTCCCATTGATGGAATCAGCACGAAATGAAGGCCTTGAAGTAATCGTATGCAACACCCTGTATCTGCCCTATCGATGTGGATGCTTTGATGCTGTCCAGTCCATCTCTGGCTAGTTTTGCATATTGCCACTGTCTATAGGTCAGACCTTTGAAGCATCTAAAGCATTTAGTCTCCTCTAGGTTTGAGGTGTTGTTTTCACTGACCAACAGAATATTTTTGGGTTTGTAGACCAAGTAAATATATATTAACAGAAGAAATCTATATTCTTACAAATTCAGTGAAAAATGTACACTGCAAAATTACACTGCAAAATCGTGTAAGTCACACAGATGTGAGCTGGTTTATTCTGGTCCACGCATAACTAAAATGCAATGTGCAAAACAGGAAAGGAGAGCCTTATTTTTGATTTATTACATGGCAGAAATCTGAAATGGTGGTTTTCAGAAGGAAAATACAACAGAACTTGCTTAGGAGGACTGAGTGTCAAAGCTCAGTCTTAAATATTTCTGCACTTTTCCAAATGCTGTTTTTCACTCCCATACTCCATGGTTTGTCAGCTAACACAAACATTTTTGTTCCAACGAGGATGATCATGGCACCCATCTGGTTGGAAAATAACCAGCAAAAAGAAAGACTCTTTTTAGCCAAAACAATCACCTATTGCTTCACTGCAAAGACATCTTTTTCAGCAAAAGCAGGAGATAATGCAGAGAAGGAACAAGGAGTTGATGACAAAGCAAGTAGAAGTGCTTCTTTCAGTGGCACTGCTGCCTTAAAATGTTCATCAAATAACCTCAGATTTCATTTCTTGTAAGATTTTTCCTTTGTGTTTGGTTGCTCTTTTCAATGTAACCTAATGATGGAGGAACTGCCTGTCTTTGCCACTTTTGAAGCAAACATTGTATGGTAGCTTTAGCCTTTACTTTTTTTCTCTTTTAAAGTTTGAGGGTTCTTTTGGATTGGGAGTCTTGAAATTACTCAAACCACCTTTTAAAAGTTAGATATTAAGGGTATATCAATTGAAAGTTGGACAATGCTGTAAATAAAACAAATTACAGTGCGCAATAAATTTGATTTTCCTTTTCTCAACCAAAGGAGTGTAAAGGTCTCTAAGCCTTGTGAAATCAAAGTGAAATGTTACTACCTCACATCTCTTGAAGTTAGTGAGTAGCCTTACACAGCCTCTTCTCCATGTCTCGGGTAGCCTTTCTTTAAGCCCTAAAGGACTTTACTTTTCAAGTCCAGGTCCATGACATGCCATTTGACATTTGATGGAAATCTGAGATTGTGTTATTGTTACTGGTACATCATTGTACAGGACTGTGAAACATTCTCAGCTACACTGAAAATCTCTCAGTCATGATTTTAGAAATGAGACAAAATGTCGTGGTTTAACTCTG